ACAGTAAATCAATTCTCATTTTCAACTACACATTTTTCAATAAAATAATATTTTTCATCACGTCAATAATATTTTCTTCATTTTCAACCACACATTTCCCATCATATCACTATTCAAAAATCAATTCTTCCCCAAAAATCTCTACCAAACACACTCTAAAGTAAAATCCTACATATGCATTTGATATATGTTTTTGAGTAAGGGATCAAAACATTTGAGAATAATGTTATCTATCATTATCGTAATAGAACATTGGTGATGTTGCAATTTAAGTGGAATAATGGGATATGACAGTTCAATCCCCCCCCTCTCTCTCGTGAAAATTGAACTTTCATATTCTATTATTTCACCTAAGTTGCCACATCAACGATGTTTCATCATTATAATGATAAATAACATTACTCAACATTTGATAGTTTTGTTAGATTGTTGAGAATTAGCAACAGAAATATTCATGTAAAACTGAAATAGTGTACAGGTTTGCTGCTGGTTAGACAGCAGTTCTATTGAGGCTAGCCCTTTCATGTTATGGAGGCTTAATGTGTTTTTTTGAGTTGGTATGATTTTAGGGATTGAAGAATGCTAGTGAATTTGTTACTTGTTAAAGATGCAATCCTATTTGTCCAACAACACTGGCATATGGTGATTGACCATTTCATTATCTGTGCATGATAAAAGCAAGCCCTTGCTTGGTCCCCATTATTTCTAAAATACATTTTTTCTCTCTTATTTTCAACCACACATTTTTCAATAAAATAATATTATACGCAAACCCAAATTTTTTTCGTATTTTTTAATCGCACATTCTCCATCAAAATAGTTTTCCAAAATGCATTTTGGACGAAAATGGGACTCAAATAGGCGCTAAGATGGTATTTCTTAAAGGGTCAAGGGGCAGGACTTGTTAATCACTCTTCACTTTAGTGATAAAATGATGTTAAAAATACAGGAAAAAATTAAAAGAAACGCAGGGATTATGAGCTCCTATTTCAGAAAATTTCGCATCCTTTCCAGATTGGCTCAGGCAATGATTTACCTAGAGTTTAGAAACTTATGGCTTCGCCATTTTATTTCAGTTTGTAATTTACGTGAAGAGTATAAACTTGAGTTAAAGGAATGAAGCTCCTCATCTATTTTGCTCCTCGCATTTTATCTATTAATCTCTGGTGCCAGCATGAAATTTTTTTGTTCCACCATAATTTTAAATATTTTTCTTATTTACTAAATTGGACATAAATCACAACTTAAGTTATCCTCTTTAATTTTTAGGTCAACCACGTCTCCCATCACTAGTTATCTTCATCTTCTCTTTTATTGTCTCTCTCTTTCTGTATTCACTTATTTTTTTTGCTGCACGATCTTTCGTTAGTGTTTAATCGTGTTATTATTTTTTTATTTCAATATTTAACATTAATTAATAATAATGGATGCATAAAATAACAAAAAGGTCATCGTACTAAACACCCCAACCCCAACCCCGCCACCCCACCTATCAGAAACTAAAAACCACCCACATCTCTTGGGTTTGACAATAGAGAAACATTTGCCTATTGACTCGGCTTCTACCTTTTTTCCGTAAATAAATAAAATCAATTTGCAGAAGTGAAAAAGAGAAGAAAAGAACAGCAGGTGGCACTGTGTTTGATTTGTGATAATAATGTATAAAAATAGAATTGGAGACGTAGCCAAAGAGTGGTTCGCTAATGTTGGTGTTTCAGAGGGAGAGAGGAGTTGTATACCATATATTTTGTTTTTAGTAGATAGCTTTTAATTAGTGTGTAAATATAAAGTGGTGAGACGAATCAAAAATTGTAGGGTTAATATATTTATCCTGAAATCTTTATTTTTTATTTGTCTGTCTTGAAGAAAATATTGATAATTCATGCCTTTTCGCAGAGGAAGCATTGAGTGACAGGCAAACTAGAGGACATCGTTGTTTCCATGTCTATTCGAGCGATCACATAGAATGGATATTCATTGAAGATTCGTGCTTTTTTGGCATTGGAGTGAAGGCTTTGTGACCCTTTCCTGTTAAGCCTTCATATTTTGAACTTTGCAGGTTGTTTGGTTAGAATTCTATACTTGATTGATACTACTATTACTGCTTAAAAAAAGGGTACCGCTATTTCCATCCACATTTTTTATAAGTTCATCCCACACTAAGTTCATCCACTACAAAATTTTTAAATTTAAAAAAAATACTATTTACATCCACGCCATTTTCCAATTTTGTCCTTTAAATTCATTTATTTAAATTCTATGTACATCCACATGAATTTTATATATTCATTCCACTTTAAATGCATCCCTAACACTATAACTTCACACAATCCCTAAAATCATACTCTTGTCCACCGCCAGTTTTTTAGGTTGGGCACTAACGTCTCTTTGCATGCACCTACTGTCAGAAACTAATCATTCCTTCC